GAAGCATCCTAGGATTGCACACAATGAGCTTGGCTTGAGCTTGGCGTAGCATATGTCATGCGGCAGCTACCTGCTGCTAACTACTACCAAGACTCTGACTGTCAACATTGGAACTTGTACCTAATTGAATTTGATGTAGTTAGTGTCTAGCTTCGAAAAGTCCAATCAACAACTATCAAACGAGCATCCAGAGACATCTGTCTGAGAATCCATTCTTCGTAGCCTTGATCTGTCTTTAAATCTGCCAAACTGCTCCGGGTTGGTCCAAAGGTTGCCTGCAAACAACAAGAACAAGAACAAGTTGCATCGCTGCATCGCTTAATTAGCGGCCTATAATGGCTCATGAAACAACAACAACAACCACAACGACAACGACAACGATAACGACAACAACAACAACACCAATTATATAAATCAACCGTAACCTGTCGGTTAATAAAGTCCGACTGCGTGAAGGATCCACATGCATCAAACTCTCCCCATGCATGTGCCTGAATCAAGAACTGGGCATCCAAGGAATCCGATCGTGGCCACGTTGTCACAGGAGGAGTTGTTGTCACAGGAGGAGTTGTTGTCACAGGATAAGCTGTTGTCACAGGAGGAGTTGTGGGTCCTGGACTGGTTGTGGATGTGGTTCCTGTCCGCGTTGTCGAGAGAAAACCATCCGTCTCAGAGTCTATTTGTGTTGTGCCTTCCCCGCAGCCAGTCAAAACCAGGGCCAGCGTGACCAAGCCCACTGCCAAGACTCTGTGCAAGTGACGCACAATTGTCTCAGCCATGTTCATCCATGAAGCTGCTTGAGCAGAAAGCGGCAGTTGTACACCCGAATGTCAAACCAAACAGGTCACTTTAGCCTAGCTAGCGTGCACGGAAACCACAAATTTGCACCGTGCTACAGAATCATGTGAAGCTTGTACGAGGTATACAAGAGTGTCCCACAAGAGTGGCCCACAAGAGTGCCCTACAAGAGTGACCCACAAGCGTGTCCTACAAGAGTGCCCTACAAGAGTTTCCTACAAGAGTGGCCCACAAGAGTGTCCTATAAGAATCCCCACAAGAGCGTCCTACAAGAGTGTCCCACAAGAGTTGCCTACAAGAGTGTCCTATAAGAGTGTCCCACAAGAGTGTCCCACAAGAGTGTCTCACAAGAGTGTCCCACAAGAGTGTCCCACAAGAGCGTCCCACAAGAGTGTCCCACAAGAGTGTCCCACAAGAGTGTCCCACAAGAGTGTTCCACAAGAGTGTCCCACAAGAGTGTCCTACAAGAGTGTCCCAGAAGAGTGTCCCACAAGAGTGTCCTACAAGAGTGGCCCACAAGAGTTTCCTACAAGATTGTCCTACAAGAGTGTCCTACAAGAGTGTCCCACAAGAGTGTCTCACAAGAGTGTCCCACAAGAGTGTCCCACAAGAGTGTCTCACAAGAGTGTCCCACAAGAGTGTCCTATAAGAGTGCCCCACAAGAGTGTCCCACAAGAGTGTCTCACAAGAGTGTCCCACAAGAGTTTCCTACAAGAGTGACCCACAAGAGTGTCCTACAAGAGTGTCCCACAAGAGTTTCCTACAAGAGTGGCCCACAAGAGTGTCCCACAAGAGTGACCCACAAGAGTGTCCTACAAGAGTGTCCCACAAGAGTTTCCTACAAGAGTGACGCACAAGAGTTTCCTACAAGAGTGTCCTACAAGAGTGTCCCTCAAGAGTGTCCCACAAGAGTGTCTCACAAGAGTGTCCCACAAGAGTG